TAGGGCTGGGAGCAGGGGTTAAGCAGAGTTCACCCGGTGCATTTTCTTCCCCTGACTGTTGAGTGGGAGAAGAAGGAAAAGGGGAATTCGGGCAAGAAGTAATTTGGGAAGCTGCCCCCTTGCATCGAGAGCGATCCTTGAGGCCCCTCTGCAGCAGTGGTGCCAGTCTGTTTTCAGTACAGCTGGACCTTGCTTGCTCTCAGAACCATTGCCCGGCATGTTTTACTGCATTGGCTTTCAAAACATCACCATAGTCCAAAAACCTGCTTAATACCGCTTTATTTTCGGTGCAGCTGTTCAGTGCCCCGGGTCTAAGCTGGCAAAGTGCTCTCGCTTGTCCAGGCACTGATGGCTGCTCCAGGCCAGCAGCAGTCTCAGAGTGGGTGGTGCAGCTTCTGCCACTGCTGAGAGCTCCGTTTCATCTTGAGTGACAGAGCTGGTCCTGTGCATAGCTACAAGCAACTCACCAGTTTTGTTTCTGTGCTAATATGTTAATAGAGAAGATGAAGAAACTGTGGAAGTCTCTTCCCTGGAAGTGTGCAAGGCCAGGCTGGATGGGGTTTTGAGCAACCTGGTCTAGTGGGAGGTGGCCCTGACCGTGGCAGGGGGATTCGAACTAGATGATCTTTAAGGTCCCTTCCAGTCCAAACCATTCTGTGATTCTGAAAGAACTGGAGAAAGCCAGGATTTTTTTCCAGTCGTTGGCTTCAAGATTTTTGTCAAAATATCAGTGGAAAGCTTTGATTGTTGAAAAGTCAGAGGATGGGGCTTTTCTGATAAAAACTCTGAATAGTCATGGGGCATTTCTGGCTGTGTGAACTGACACGAGTTTTCAGAAGCCATCTTTAAAGGTTTCTGACCCAGGCATTAATATTTCCAAATATGCTTCCAGATGTGTAATATTAGTTTTAGGACGGTCAGAATTTATCCTGCACGGAGACTTTTCCTTTCTCGCCTCTTCAATCCTGTGTTTAATAAGTTTGTGGAAATTCAGATTTTAAGAATGCACAGCCTCCCGTGTAAGAACAAGTGACTTCATGAGGGAAGGATGAGGGATGGACTGAAAATGAGTAAATGATTTATCAAATGATGGCTCCTCTTGCACTTTGTGCCTTGAATTTTCTGGCAAAATCTTTGGTACATTTAGAAATTGTGATCAATGCCCATACTGTGACTGCACAGTTAGTTACTATGTTGCATTCAGTGCATTTGGATAATATTTACCCTGGTAATAAAAGGAGGGCAAGGGAAATTCATGGTTCTGGGTTAAGGGTGTTTCTGTCCAATCTTGGCCTCTGCCAGCTGTAGGAACGGTTACCTGCTTTCTGTTATAAAGCTTCAGGCCCTTTAGGCTTGGCAGTATTTGTTTTAGCAAGTTTAGGCAAGGTAAAGGTCTGCAGTGCTGCTATCACAGGTACGGTGAGGGTTTTAACTGTTTCTGGCAATGTCCAATGCTGTTTATTGTACAACACAAATACTACACAAAGTCGTAAACCACCCGTTATTTTCTCCTGTGCACAAAGGTGATGAATCGGACCTGGCAAGCTCAAAAAGTGGTCTTGGTGCTGTTATTTCTTCCAGGCAATAAAAGTTCAAAAAAAGGCTGGATGACTCTGTGTCTGGTCTTGGGAATTTGCATTAATCCTCTTTCAGTGATTCCATGGGAACGCCACAGCTTGTTTGAATGCACAGAATGTAATTTCTTTATATCAGTTTATAGTGCCTGCTGTAAAATGCTTTGTATTTCTGTGTTTCTGTCATAGCAAAGGCTTAGACCTTGTTTGCATGGAAGACAATCAGTGCAAGTCTTCTTGTATAACTGAATTATTCCAAAATACATGGATGCTATTCTGGAGTAGGTTGCAAAGGGATCTATTCCAAAGCAGTCTAGTCTGCAACAGCATTCCTCAACAGATTTTATGTAGAGAAGGTCTTGAATTTGATTTCGCAACTCGTCTGTGTGCCCTGCAGAAAGCTATTGTGTTGTTACATTTGATGTTATGTCTTGTCAGAAAGGAAGATTCAGGTTGTTTGATCCCCTGCCCATTTTATCCTGAAGGACAGACCCAGAGTGATTCTTTGTAAAACTGAGAGTGATGAATGAAGACTTGCTAGCAGTAATCCTCGCAGGCTCTGCAGAGGTGTTAGTGCACAGTAACTCACTGACAATAACCGTACAGGAAAATCTCCCTGGTCCCTCAGCATCACTGCAGGGCTTTGCATGAAAGCTGCACACATATGCATCTCCTTGCCAAAATTGTACTCGAAAGCCACCGGGATAAGGAACAAGAAATTCACTCTTGATGTGGGCCTCAGATCATTGTGTGACCTCCAGTTTGCTTTCTGATATATTTTTTTTTTACTTTGCACACTCTGTGCTGGAGCAACATATCTCAGATGAATGCCAGTCTCTTATTTTAAACCACTATTTTTATTATGCAATCTTTCCATTCCTATTGCTCATTTTACTGCAATATTTGAGTATCTGCTAAACACTCCTGGGTCTGTTAGTTTTTTTGTTCAGTAAGAGAATGACATCCAAGTTTCAGATCTTGGTTTACTTACTACTATTTAGCTTCCCGAAAGCAAATGTAGGGCAATTAAACCTTTGTGTTGAAATTACGAATTTCAGATCTGGGATTCTTTCCAAAAGCCATTTTCTCACTTGGCTGAACAAGAATTATTTTAAATGAACCATACAACAGATGTCCTCTTTTTTGTTGTTGTTGTCTTTTAGGTTATTAAATGCAAGGCTGCTGTTGCCTGGGAGGCAGGTAAGCCTCTCTCTCTTGAGGAGGTGGAGGTTGCTCCACCAAAAGCTCATGAAGTTCGTATCAAGGTAATTAAATCAATCATTAGCTGTATGCATTGTATTTTGGGACACTAAGTAGTGAAGTTGAACAGTTTGTTTACCAACGGAAGAAATGCTGAATGCGTAACATTGGTTCATTAGTATCTCAGCTGGCTTTACAAAGAAGAAAATGACAGTAGTTAGATCTTGTGTTTATGAAAAACACTTTTAATTTCTAATGGTCTCACTTCACAGTCTGGTCTAACTGTCGTGGCTAGTCTTGGGCATCAATTCCAGTTGTTACAGACTAAGCTCCCACAAAAGATCTGAGCTAGGAACTTGCCCTTGCGTGAAGGGCATTAGCTTGTGACCTGTGGCAGGTGTGTAACAGGCTGGATTTTACTTCAGTCAGGCCACAAGTTACGGGCTGCTGAGCTGCAATTGGTCTGTTGGCTTCCCCACACCCAAGTTTCTGATTTGATCAAGGACTTTCCAGTAGCCCATATCTACCAAAAAAGTATACATTAAGGTAACATTTATCTTGTAGAAAAAGTCTCTGCATGGTGCTTGAGACTTAAACTAGATTTATGCAGTACTGAAGAGTTCTGTGTGGTCTCTGGTCATTTTACCTTTGAGAGACTAACTTTAAATCTGAGATGTCAACCTACTTTGAGACAACTTGGCAGTACTGTTTTCTAGCTTTGGGAAACCAGATGTCATCTCCTACCCATTTAGTTGACAGAAATGAGAAAGATGGACTGTCACGACTTTACTTTTCCAAAGTAAGAAAAAGTGCCTTGCCGTGGCGCTCCTGTGCCTTGCCAGGAGTGAAATTATCTTGCCTGCATCACAAACACTTCCAGGTGCAATTGTTCTGAATTTCTGACTTAGATCTGGGCTACGATTCTGTTCTTCAAGGTGCCTCACATTATGTATTTCTTCACAGATAGTTGCCACTGCTGTCTGTCACACTGATGCCTATACTCTGAGCGGTGCTGATCCCGAAGGATGTTTCCCTGTGATCTTGGGTCATGAAGGAGCGGGAATTGTAGAGAGTGTGGGAGAAGGAGTAACAAAAGTAAAGCCAGGTAAGAAAATACCTTACAAGTTTTCTGCCTTTCTTGAAAGTGTTACTTTACTACAAGGTCAGCTGTGAAATTGGGCCACTAAAATGCCGTATCGCAGGAGTTAATATGTCTTCATCTAGTGTGTGGGCCTGTCTAGATTTCTCTTGTCTGTGAGATACAACACTAATCTATTCAATGTGCTCTTGGTCTAATGCTTGAAGGAGCCCTTACCTGAAAATGGATCGATATAGTTAGAAGAGGGTTTATTTACAAGTGGTAGTTGTTTCCTGTTGGATTAATTACAGGGCTTAAGAATGTTTAATCATGTTGTTCAGTTCCAATTTGGGGTTGTTTTGTTTCACAGTAAAGTTCCTGTTCTGGAGTGATGACCTTCTGTTCCGCTGTCTGCCCAGACATGAGAAAAGTGTTTTATCTTAACACTCTGTATAAACAGTGCTACTCTATACTGTAAACAATTTTTAATACATGAAGAAGGTTTTAATTGAACACAAGCTCACATAGAAACCATCAGGTTTTTCCTAATGCCTTGCTTGACTTGATAACTAGCTGCAGAATTTTTTTTTTTCCTAAGGAGACACTGTTATCCCTCTATACATCCCTCAGTGTGGAGAGTGCAAGTTCTGTAAGAATCCTAAAACAAATCTGTGCCAGAAGATAAGGTCTGTATACTTTTGGTTTTGACACACGGTATAGTATTTGTTCATGTGGATACCTGTTCGGGTTATCAAAAGTAAATTACAAGAGTTATCTTTGAATAAAATGTTTCTTTTTTGCCCTTAAATAAAACTGTTTCTCTGGTTTTATATGTGCAAAGGTATAAACTGCTAGCTTCTGTCCACAGCTTTGAAAACATAAATGCTCTGACTATATTTAATCCATATTAAGGGAAGCAACTCAGGGAATTTAGCTCTTGGAAAAGACCGGGGTGTGGTGCTGTGGTACAAGCAGTTAGCTTGGTAGCTAACAAGGTCAGCATGTTGACAAACTCCATTTCTTTCTCTGCTTCCATGGAGGAATTAACAGCATGAAGTTTTAAAGTTTAGCATCTAATTTCTGAGAACTCTTTGGTTTATTGGAATGATTAAAAATAACAGTGCAAGTATGGAACTGCATCTCTGTGCTCCTTAAGGGATACTGTCTGGCAAGCGTATTTACTGCTTAAGAGTCTGACTGTACTTTCCTGTCTTTGCCTTAAGAATTACTCAGGGGAAAGGACTCATGCCTGATGGTTCCAGCAGATTCACCTGCAAAGGAAAGCAGATTTACCACTTCATGGGGACTAGCACCTTCTCTGAGTATACTGTGGTGGCTGATATCTCAGTAGCAAAGATAGATGCTGCAGCACCTCTCGATAAAGTGTGCCTGCTGGGTTGTGGCATCTCTACTGGCTACGGGGCTGCTGTTAACACTGCTAAGGTAAAGGCTGTGGTTGCCTCTGGCTTTTGTCTGTGACTGTATCTGAGCTCAAGTGCACAAGATAGGAACTAGATTAGGACTGTAAACATGGTGCTTAGATTTGTTTCTTCTTCCTCTTCAACTGATGAAGTTTAGCTAAGAATTTCTAACTTCTCCATAAAGGCCAGAACACTTCAGAAGAACCTCATGCCCTTTAGAGGAAATCGAAGTAGAAGATTCTGCATTCCTTTGCATTCTGCATTCCTCTGGATACCAACCACACCAAC